TGCTTAATATTTTAGGATCTTTGCACTTATATTCATCAAGAATATAGGAGTATAATTTTCTTTTTTAGTGGTGTCTCTGCTTTGTTATTAGAGTGATATTTGTTTCATAGAGACTGGGATGGTTTCTGTTTCTCTGAATTTCTGGAATAGCCTGAAAAGATTGGAAGTCTTTAAAGGCTTTATTTTGGTGAGAGACTTTTGATTGCCATTTGATTGCCTTTATAGTAATTGACAAGTTCAGATGTTCTATTTCCACTTGGTTCAGCTTTAGCAGGTTATGAGTCAGAAAACTTATACATTTCTTCTAGGTTTCTAAGTTCATGGCATAGAGATTTTCTAGCAATACCTGAGATCCTTTGAATTTCTGTGGTATTTCTTTTGACATCTCTCTCTCCTTTCACTTCTGATTCGGTTTATTAGAGTCTTCTCCATTTATTTCTTTTTGAGTTTAGATAATCACCTGTCAATCTTATTTATTCTTTTTTAATGATATTTCAGCCACGTTAAACTGTGTTCAGTGATTACTTCTGGCTCTACACTCAGGAATCACTTCTGGCAGTGCTCAGGAAACTGTGTGGTACTTGGGACTGAATCCAGGTTATCTGTGTGCATGGCAAACCTTAAACACTATACTATCTCTTGGGTCCTGAATCTTGCTTATTCTTTCAAAGAACCAGATATCGGTTGGTTTCATTGCCTTTGTGAATTGCTTTATATTTTCCCTTTCATAGATTTATGTTTTGCTTTATTATTACCTTATTTCTGCTTGCTTAGGGTTCCATTTTTTGGCCTTGTTTTCTATCTGCTTAAACTATGGTGTTATTTACCTTTCTTCTTCCCAGTGAAAACTTGTATTGCTATGAACTTTTATGCTAGCACTGCTTTTGCTGTGTCCCATACATTCTGATGACTTCTGTCCTCGTTCTCATTTGCTTTTAGGAAACTTTTTAATTTTTCTTTGATTTTCTCTTTGAATCACTGATTGTTCAAGAGTTGAAATAAGTTGTTTCTTTGACAAGTGTTTGAGTTTTTCCCATTTCTCTTTGTAATCTATTTAAAAGCATCATGGTATGAGAGGACAGTTGATATGATTTTAATCTTCTTCATGTTATGTAGATATGGCTTGTGGTGCAATGTGGTCTGTCTTGGATAATTTCCCGTGTGCAGTGGATAAGAATGTATACTCCACTTTTCGGGGACGAGGGACTCTATATATGTCTGCTAGGCCCATCTCCTCCATTTCTTCCTTTAATGATAGCATTTCCTTGGGTATTTTTTTGTCATTTTGGGTCACACCTGGCGATGCACAGGGATTACTCCTCGATTTGCACTCAGAAATTACTCTTGGCGGTGCTCAGGGGACCATATGGGATGCTGGGGATAGAACCCAGGTCGACTGCGTGTAAGGCAAATGCCGTACACGCTGTACTATAACTCCAGCCCAGCATTTCTTTGTTGAGTTTCCTAGTTGTGGCAGTGGAATGTCAACGACTCTGGCTACTATTGTGTGGTTGTCAATATCTTTCTTCAGGTCTATTCCTAGTTGTAATACTAGTCTACAAGTATTTTGATGGCCCATCCTTAGGTGCATATATATCTAGGAGTGTGAGAGAGTTTTTCTTGATATAGGGAGTCCTTTATCATTAAGAAATGATGATCCCTCTTTGTTTTTAATTTTTACTGAGATTTTGTAGTTTACAATGCAATTAATAATGATTTTATGGACATAATTCCAACACTACACCCATAATCACTGTACCCTCTCCCTCTCCCAAGGATCCTGATACCCCTCCCTCTCCACACCCCCAACTCAATTGTGTGGATTATTTCTCCAATTTTGTTGCCCTTGAACCTTTGTTGCTACCTTGTTGTGTATCTTTAAGTCTCACCTACGAGAGAGATGATTCTTTGTCTATCCCTTTCTATCTGAATGACTTCAACTGATATAATTATGACAACCCCTGCCTATTTATTTTGTAATTTTTGTTTTCGGGGACACACTTGGCTCATGGATTACTCCTGGTGGCACTCAGGGGACCATATGGGCTTCTAGGATCAAATATGGCAAATGCCTTACCCATTGTACTGCTAATATGGCCCCCTACCCCTACATTTTAAGGGAATAGTTTTCCTGAAAGATTTTCCTTGACCTTGACATTGAGCCTGTATTTACCCTGGCTGTTCAGAAGTGTCTCTTGTAGGCAGCAGAAAGTTGAGTTCAGTTTTCTGATCCATTCTCCCTCTGTAAGTCTCTTTATTGGGTAGTTCAGGCCATTGATATTGTGTGAGATTACTGAAATAAAGAAATTTGTTGCCATCGTTTTGTAGTAATAATGTGTTTTTGTGACATTTATTTTGTCTTTTAAAGAAGCTCTTTTATGATCTTATCAAAACATGTTTCAGTCTATGAAGTTTCTAAGTTTTTCTTCTCCATGAAGCTCTGTATGTTTTCTTCAAATATGAATAATGTTCTAGCTGAGTAAAGTATTATTGATGTGGTGTTCATTTCACTGAGCTTTCTTTGCACTATTCTCCCAATTACTTGTGGCTTGTAGGGTCTCAGATGATAAATTGTCTGTATCTCTTAAGTGATTACCAGTGTATGTAAATTCTTTCTTTGAGTCCACCAATATTTTCTTCACTGCTTTCAATATTTGCCTCTGGCTTTTTAAAGCTAACACATGAGTATAAATCATTTTTGCGGGAGAGTATTTTGGAGGTTCATGGGATCAACCACAAAGAATGGGAAGGAGGCCAAGCATATTGAAACAAAGTCGGCCCATAGAAACAGACTTACCTACATTTGACGAAAGAATTGGAGAAGTTCACAGTCCTTAAAAGAAGACAGAAATGTGGATTCTTGATCCAATGCTCATGCTCTCCTTCCACAAATAGACAGCTCTTAATCACTTCCTGTAAAGCTGAGAGTTGGTACAGCGTTATTAGTTTCAGAAAGCACAGGGTAGCACACATTTGATCCTTTACAGGGGAAGTGTTTGTGTCTGCGTTTATTTAATTTTTTTTCTTATTAGAGATACAATTTGACCATCTTCCACTTGAAAGAACACAGGCATTTCAGAGGGAGGGGGGAAATTGTGAAGGATCTCCCATGCATGTGCCCTATCTTCTCATTAGCATTGGAATCCAGGACAGAGTTGGTGGTGCACGAACCTGGGTGCCCGTACCCGATGCTTTGAATCCCCGGGAGAAAGGACATCGCAGAAGCAAGAGCAGAGGCCTCACCTGCCAGGATCCACGTTGCTTTGGGCAAGACTGTTCAATACTCTTAGGGCTTTGCAGTGGCGGTCCTTTCAGGCTGATGTTCGGGATGCAGGTGTTTGCCTGCACCTCATTCAACAGCCACTTCCTTCATAAGGAGTGGTGCTGGTGGGAGACTTTTATGCACTCAGAGCCTTGATGAAGACTACACGCTTCAGGCAAAGGTCGGCCCTCCATAGCCTTAAGAGGGTGGGTGAACGCATCAGTCAGCTACTGGCTTCCTGAGCCATCCTGATGATTACGTCAATGCTCTGAGGCACAACCTAGTGGCAAGAGCGCATACTTGTGGGTCAAACCTCACTTCTGGCTCCCGAGGTGAATAGGGTAAGTGCTAGCTCCCTAGCAAGGACACACGGATCCATTCCCCAATACTGAGCCCCAAGGAAAACAAAGGGACGTGGACCGCCCTCCAAAGACACGAGGAAGTCTCAGGCATGACACCCACATGGCCCAGACAGGTGTCCTGAGTATGCAGAGGGAGGAAGAAGCCAGATTTAGAGCCCAGGGTCTTCACATGCTTTCCCAAACACTTCCATGGAACCTGATACTCGCCCTTTGCAGGTCTCTGCTCTGTCCTTCCCACTTCTCACTGATCCACGTGTGGCTCCTTGCTCAAGGCAGTTTTCCTGATGGTGCACTCTCCTGCTCAGCATTCCAGGGTTCTTCAGTGCCACCCATGCAAGGCTAGAGATCTGGTGGTCCAGGAACTTCACGAAGGCAAGTAAGTGCAGGACATAGAGCCTGAGAGTCCCCTGAGGTCCTAGGCCCAAAGGAGTGCTGAAGAGTTTGCTTCCCATAGAATCACAGCATGATCCTTCAGGCAGTGGCTGGCACTAGCCTTCAATTAATTCCCTCCTGTCGTCCCATTGAAAGCCGGAACATGGAGAACGATTACGTCCTATGCCATTGGAGAGGCTGCCATTGGCCGGCAAAGGTGTTCCCCCGATCACTACCCACCTCCCCTCAAAGGAAGAGGAAATGGGCACATTTCCTGAAACTTCAAATACTCTCGGTAGATGACATGATCTCAGTGAGGAAAACAGACATAGAGAGCCTGAATGAATCTCACATCGAACTCATCACGGCCATGCTAGCCAACCACGCACAGAGCAGCATCCACAGAGAAGAGGACCTAGCCTGGCAGAGAGCTCTCACCACTGCCCTGAACATCCTCAAAGAGAGAGATGCTTCCAAGGCAACCAGGGCACCAGATGCCCCAGAGGACGGACAGCAGCAAGAGCCTCAGACAACGAGGAGCACCTCAGAACTGGCGGCCCCACATTACACTGTCAAGGGAGTTGCAGGCCTGTATGTGCATCTGCCACCAGGCGTCAGGCTCAGACCGCTGTCTGTCCAGCTGCAGCGCGACCCCACCCTTGGGCAGACTCTCATTGCAGGTGCTCCCGCCGACTGTGTGTACACCCAGAAAACAACAGACGTTTTCCCCGCAACAGGCTAGACTGTGCGCAAATGACCCACCTCGCTCTGAACATACTCAGACAATACGCAAAAAGAAGAGGGGACTCTTTAAAGCTCTGTCCTCGCGACACAAGTTCAAGGAGGCTGCAGACGTGCATGGGCGTCTGCCATCAGGCATCACCTTCAGTTCCCTGTCTGTCCGTCTGCAGCATGATCCCACTTTAGACAGACGCATGTCCCAGCCACGCTCGACCATCAGCACGCTCCCAAGGCCAATGCCAACACCGTTGCCATCATGAGACATGTGTCCAGATTTATCATCCCTTCCCGCAGATGAACTGCAGCAAGCTCCCAAGAGAGGAGGCCCAGACTTCACAGCCTCGCATTACACAGTGAAGGAGAACTGTTCAGGGGAATCTGCAGCATTGCCCCTGGCTTTCATCAACCTGGTAGCCCCAGCCCTGGTCAGAGGCGTGCAGGACTCCTGGCCAGCGGCCCAGCCTCTCCCCTGGAAGCGTGCTCCGGCCGCAGAGAGTGCTGAGGACCCTGGAGAAGGCACCTCCTCTGGCACCTCATCCATGGCAGGTTGGCAAGGACCCTCCACAGCATCCTCCAGCACCGCTCACCCAAGGGTGCCCTCTCTGGCAAGCAGAAGAGGGAAACGGCAAGCCCCCACGTCTCACGCAGCTCCCCAAGAACTGCATTCTTCCTTTCACTCCACGGCCACCCACGCCAGCACCACTGCTGAAGAGGATGGTGGCCAGGAGGTGGGAGAGCCCACTGGCGTGGCCTTCCCGCAGGGCCCTCCCGCCATCCAGAGAGGCTCGCTGGTCTGGATGAAGTTCCAGCACCACCCGTACTGGCCCGCAGTGGTGAAGAGCACGTGCAAAACTGAGAAAACGGCAAGGGTGCTTTTGATCGAGGCATACATGCCCACGGAAAGGAGGGGCATTCAAGTTCCTCTGCGCAGACTGAAGCATCTGGATTGCAGAGAGAAAGAGACCCTAGTGAAGAGGGCCAGCAAGCACTACCAGCACGCGGTGAATTGGTGCTTGGCGCTGGTGGCCCAGTATGCCGAGGCGCGTGCCCGCAGGTCTTTCCGTGGCTCTTTCTTGGCCTTCTATTCCACCGACGCCAGCTCTTCCTCCAGGAAAGCCATCAAAGACTGTGAGGTCCCAATCAGCTTCCCAGAGGTGAATTATGCCGACCTGGAGGACTGGGAGGAGGAAGACGGATGGCCAGGTGGGATGCCCCGGTGTAAGAAAATTCTCCCTGACCGCATGAAGGCTGCGTGGAACCGAGAAAACCAGAAGCTAGTGGATTTCATCGTCAAGAGGAAGGGGGCCGACCCGCACCTCCTGGACATTGTCCACGGCAGGAAGTACTCCCAGTGGCTGGCGTCCTTTCTCAAGTCAGCCAGGTATGTGATCTGCGTTGAAACGTACCTGGAGGACGAGGACCAGCTGGATGCCGTGGTGAAACATCTACAGACGGTCTACAGGGACATGGGCCGGAGGATGAAGAGGGTGGTCAGAAATGACCCAGTGAGCTTTGTTCTGGAGGTGCTCCTCCCAGAAGCTATAATCTGTGCCATCTCTGCCCTGTACGGCTTGAAGTACGACGACGCGGAAACCAAGTACCTGGAGGGGCCACCCTGCACACACGGGAAAAGGAACTGTTTGACAGGAAAATCCTAAAGCAAGTGAGGAAGAGGGCAGCCAGGGCGAGCATAGCTAACTAACACCCCGCCCATCCTTCGCCTGTCACTTCACTGGACACCGCTCCTACATTTCCAGTCACAAGCCTTTTATCTGCATGAAGTGGGATGCAGCCTTTCACTGTGTACCTGGAATGGGTTCTGGGATTGGAGGCCTGGAGAATGGTTGCTTCCCTCCAGGACCCATCTCTAGCGTTTCTGGCGACTGGAATCATCACCGTTTCTCAGTGCCCAGAGCTTCACAGCCCAAGTCACAGAGTTTGCCAGCACCTACTCCTTGAATGTGCAGTTGGCCAAATGTCATGTCATTGCTTTGGACTTATCTCCCACAAACTTAAGATTCAATGCACATTCTGGGATTGGACGAAATAACTCTTGTGGCAGATCTTGAAGAAAAAACTTTTATGTCTAAATCATACAAATACTGCTGATAGATTGCTTTTGATTTGGAGGACAAAGCTACATAATTCGTTGGATTCCTTCCAGTGATAATTACAGCGTATTATAATAGTTGCTAATTTCTCTGTTAAAGAAGCCCTTGAGGTGATCCTGAACAACGGAGATGTTTTCATTAGATCACTGTTGTCTTCTAATTGCTCTTTAATAAGTAATGTGAAGTCCAAAGTATGAATCATTTGAACATAGACCTGTGAGGTTGAGAGAAACTTTATCATGGCTTAAACATTTTGTTAGCTTGTTCAAGAATCTTGACTCTCTTCTTCTAGAGCCCATTATGAAGAGCACTGCTTCTTCCCTGTCTATATGAGATAGGTTTCTGGTGGTGTCTTTCACAGAGAGTCATGGGCCCTCTAATTGGTTCAAAGTGGAGGACAACTGGAGGGGTTCAATGTACACCTAGCTGCTGTAATCATAGTTGGCTGCTCGGTGTTCATCAAGCACACTTCATACAGCATCTGTTTTAGGAAGGCAAGTACTTTGTTCTGTAACTTGTGTCCCTAAGGAGGAGTCATGTATCTCAAACCAAGCATACTTTATCTTTTTACCTATGCCAGGTTGTGACAGGGACATGAAATAGACTTACATTCCCTGCAGGCAACTGGAGCAGCAGGTTGGCCAGATCTGGGAACAAGGACATTTGGTGACAAATTTTAATCTTTTACTAAATATGTCTACTGTGACAATACACTGAAATATGTAATATTGTCAAAATTCTGAAATAAATTAGCTCTACTCCTAACATAAAATACTGTTTTTCAAAAGAATTGAGCAAAGTAGTGGTCTTTAAAGTTGGGTGTGAAAGATCACTCAATGCCTTTAGTGCAAACTACAGTACCCAAAAGGAAAGAGAGAACAAAAGTGAATGCCCTGCATCTGAGACAGGGTGGGGTGGTGGTGGGTTGGGATGGTGAGAGGTATACTGGGATCATTGGTGGCAGAGAATGGGCACTAGTAGAGGGATGGGTACTTGATCATATGACTGAAACGCAATCATGAAAGTTTGTAAGTCTGTAACTGTACCCCATGGTGATTCACTAATAATAAATAAATAAATAAACAAAAATGAATAAATAAAAAATAAAGTTGGGTGTGAAAACAAAATTTAAAGATATGGCATGAACTCAGAAGTATTTTTCTCATTAAAAGAATTGAACAGTTATTAACAGGACTGACTGTGTTATGTGTTTACCTGGCCACATTTTAGAGTACAGGTAGAGGTTGCAAGGACCTGCTGTTCTCATTCACAATACCGTCATTTTTTCTTGATCCTTGACCTTCTGCCTCACTGCTCTGATAATACATTTCTAAGTTGGAGTGTCTGTAAATACAAAGTTTCATACATATAATTTTGAAATGCTGATGATGCCTCATATTTAAATTTCCTTCACATGCTAAGCAAATGTTCACTTTAAAGCTCATAACTTTGAAGAGGGTCCTCAAAACTGTAGAAGTACTAGGTTCAGCAGAATCTCCTGCCCCTATGCCAGGCTGTCTTCACCAGGGCCCCTTGGAGGGAGGCGGGTTTCCCTCCCTGCTCCAAGCAGAACACCGGCAGCTGAAAACCTCCAGAAACCAGCTGCAGCCATACTCAAGGCCACTCTCCACACGCTTGGATGAGCCTCATGCATGAAGGAACCGTCAGAGGAACCCAGGTATATGGGACCCGTGGCTGAGATCTCCAAGCCTGTTCAGATCGGGACTGGGCGTCCTCCACCTAGTTTTCCAGTAGCTTGGCAGCCACACCCACAAAATACCCCCGGCGCCATGTAATCTCATCAACGGCCAAGTTCCAGAGACTATAAAATAAAACTCCCAGAAGAGAGCGATGCAGTATTTCCTGGAGCATTTTATACTCTAGCCCACTGATATAACTAAAGTAGCACACATTTGTTTGGTTTTAATATACTTGCTTGTATTCTCTTACATACGGGCTTACTTTGCTCCAGAATGAAATACAACAACCCTCATACACTTCCCTCTTATTGTGGTGGGAAGATGTTCATTGGTGTGGTGGGTGTTTGAATATTATCTGTAATGAATTATTGTGAACTACTTTATGAAAATAAAATGCATAAAAATTGAAAAAAAGAAATACTAAAGCATGGTACTGGAACAAAGACAGAGCTGCATACCTATGGAACAGGGTTGAATATACTGACATCTCCCCTCAAACATATGATCATCTAATCTTTGATAAAGGGGCAAGAAATGCAAAGAGGAGTAAGGAAAGCCTTTTTAACAAACGGTGCTGGGAAAACTGGATGACTACATGCAAAAAACTGGGCTTAGATCTCTGCCTAACACCATGTACAAAAGTAATATCAAAATGGATCAAAGACCTCAACATCAGACCAGAATCCATAAGGTACATTGAAGACAAAGTTGGCAAAACCCCCCGGAGGGGAAAGGGTGTTGGTCCCTTCCGCCCGCCTCCCTCTGGAAAGAAAGGTGGCGGCCACATGGGAGCCTTGTGGACAGCAGGTATGAGCCGGGGGTGTGGGGGCGACTAAAACCTCATGGGAAGGGGGGCGTTCCGGTCCGTCCTTCACGCCCTACCGAGGTCACCAGTTGCCCCCCGCGAGCGGCTCTCCAGCACGGCCACAGCCCCAGAAGCACAGGGACTTAATGCAGAACCCGGCAGCTTGGAGCAGAAAAGTGAAAGGACTATGCGTTAATCCAGGCCATCATGTCTGTCCGGAGGGGAAAGGGTGTTGCCCCAGTCGCCTTCTCCTCTCTGGAAAGAAAGATGGCGGCCGCATGGGAGCCTTGTGGACAGCAGGTATGAGCCGGGGGAGTGGGGGGGCGACTAAAACCTCATGGGAAGAGGGCGTTTCGGTCCGCCCTTCACGCCCTACCGAGGCCACCAGTTGCCCCCCACTAGCGGCTCTCCAGCACGGCCACGACTCCAGAGCACAGAAACCAATTTCTTAACTATCTGACTTTCAGTATAAATACTTCCAGGGTCAATAAGTAAAATAGCAGAAATCCAAAACCAACATTTAATTCTTGAACCCAGCTGTAGAAAGCAAATCACGTCACAATGCTTTTTCAGCATGTCTGATTGGGGGGGGGGGGTAAACTCTAAATTATAGTGGTGAATCTTTTATTGAAACAATGAATCTAATCAAAGCAGATAGAGTGTTAACTAGAATTCATCTGCCCCACAGGGACTGGGAGGGGTGGGGGGTGGGGTTTTATTGGGGTTCTTCATGGTAAAAAAAAAAGTATTGGTAAAGGGAAATGTGTTTGATATTTGCATGACTGAGACCTAAACCTGAAAGCTTTGTAACCTTTCCCAAGGTGATTCAATAAATAAAAAAAATTTAAAAAAAAAAAAAAAACAAAGTTGGCAAAACCCTCCATGACATTGACGCTAGTGGTATCTTCAAAGATGTCACGCCACTGGCCAAGCAAGTGAAAACAGAGATAGACAAATGGGACTATCTTAAACTAAGAAGCTTCTGCACCTCAAAAGAAACAGTGACCAAAATACAAAGACAGTCTACAGAATGGGAAAGGATACTCTCCAAATACACATCCGACAAGGCGTTGATATCAAGGATATACAAAGTACTGGTTGAACTCCACAAGAAGAAAACATCCAACCCCATCAAAAAGTGGGGCAACGAAATGAACAGAGACTTTCTCAAAGAAGAAATCCGAATGGCTAAAAGGCACATGAGAAAATGTTCTACATCATTAATCATCAGGGAGATGCAGATCAAAACAACAATGAGATATCATTTCACACCACAGAGACTGGCCCACATACAAAAGAACAAAAGCAACCTGTGTTGGCGCGGATGTGGCGAGAAAGGGACCCTCCTTCACTGCTGGTGGGAATGCCGACTGGTTCAACCCTTTTGGAAAACTGTATGGACGACACTCAAAAAATTAGAAATTGAGCTCCCATTTGACCCAGCAATACCACTCCTGGGAATATACCCCGGAGAGGCCAAAAAGTATAGTCGAAGTGACATCTGCACTTGTTTGTTCATTGCAGCACTGTTTACAATAGCTAGAATCTGGAAAAAAACTGAGTGCCCAAGAACAGATGACTGTTTAAAGAAACTTTGGTACATCTACACAATGGAGTACTGTGTAGCAGTTAGAAAAAATGAAGTCATGAAATTTACATACAAGTGGTCACAGGTCACAATCCTCTGGTTGTTCATCGATTTGCTTGAGGGGGCCCAGTAACGTCTCCATCATGAGACTTGTTGTTACTGTGTTTGGCATATCGAGTACATCACAGGGAGCTTGCCGGGCTCTGCCATGCGGGCGAGATACTCTTGGTAGCTTGCCGGGCTCTCCGAGAGGGGTGGAGGAATCGAACTCGGGTCGGCCATGTTCGCCACTTGTAAGGCAAACACCCTACCACTGTGCTATCGTTCCAGCCCTGGAGCGATAGTTAATTCCGATACAAGTGGTACTACATGAAAAATATTATGCTAAACGAAATGAGTCAGAAAGAGAGGGACAGACATAGAAAGATGGTATTCTTCTGGATAACATCAAGTA